TCGCATAGGTCAAGGTGCCTCTTTACCCGCAAAAAAAACGCCAGGTGGGACTCAAATCACCTGTCGACATGTGTTTGTTCACTTGAAGTTCATGTGCACCACCGAAGTAAAGGAAATCCTTTTTCCGGTTACCTCAAGACCACTTTGAACATCGTTCTGGACTCCCAGGGTTATATGTCTAAAAAGGCGCTTCTGCCGTTGTAAAAAGCTTTGTTGGCTCGGGGCTTTAACATGATTCAGCATTCCAGTATGTCATTCCCGTTCTCCTTTTTCCAGCCAACAATGAATGTGCTCCTAAATTGCATGGCTGTGGGTCAAAACCACCATGAGACCTTGCTTGACCTACCAACGTCAGGTCATGCTATTGTATGGTGAACAGCGGCACCCCCCATGTGAACGAACCCATCCCCGCATGGAATCACTCGAACCGGGTGAACAGCGATCTTCCGAACCCCTCCTTACCGGTCTCCCGGGACTCTGTTCGACGTCTCTCCGCACGCAGCACGCGACTCTGCATCTGTAAAACCCTCCCAAAGCTCCAGTCGTAGCTCCTCAGAAGGTATTTTGATCCTCTAAACCCACCCCAAACACCTTCGAAACGAAGGTACGTGGAGCCCTATAGTTGATGTGATGGCGTGAAAATGTGTTCTACCTGTCAAATCTCTAAATCTCTCCCTCTCTCTCTCTCTCTTTTTCTCCCAGTCCCATGCATGACCCCCACAGCCACCTTTGGGGTCCGAATCTTCACACCCTAAGAATCCGGGGCCTGGTTCGGGTCCGCACCCGCGCGAAGGGTTTTTTTTCTCCGAACCTTGCCATGGAGGGCCCAAGGATTCGTAGGGCAAAACAATTGATCCTGTATTAATCTGGGTGATGGCCATGACTCAGTCCTGACGTCTGTGAAAAAATCCAAAGGTTTTTGCGTTCAACGCATGTTAAAACCGATGCCCGGCCAGGCAGACCGCGGCGGACAGCAGGGCCAAAACATTTGTGTGTTGTTTTTCTGTGTTGAGCAAGAGCATATTCTGGGTGGTTGGTGGTCCAAAATAGAGGTGTTGATGATGATGATGATGAGGATGCTCTAGGAGCATGTGACCCGTTCCTCCAATCCAAAGTATCAAATGCTCAACGGCCTTCGCTCCATGATCCATGTCCTACCTTCTGAGCCCTCCTGGCAGCTACAGTGTCTCCCCTGCTCACCTTCTCAAAGGGCACGTGGATCCTTAGGGCCTCCTTAGCTTCTCCAGCTGATGCTCACCCTCTCTTCATGCGAAGTCCGGTACCTGTGTCGGCCCTCACTCCGACACCTTCGGACCCGGACACGTGCTCCTCGCTGGCTTGTACCGCCAGGCTGGGCGAGGCGCGCCGGACGCTGGTGACCTGACGAGTCGTCGTGTCGCAACGCGGTGACGGAGGCGACGCGAAGGCAACCGGACGACGGTGGTCTGACTGAGAGTGCAGGTACCAAGAGAGGTTAGACCTGAACTAGGACCCGTCACCTGGGGTACCGAACTGGGATAGTCGAACGTTCGGGTTCTGACCTACCTCTGTTGGTATGGAAGAATTCATGGTCACTATGCGTGTGAGATGGGTGAACATTCCTGCACCCAAGATGAACAAAGCTGGTCTGACTCATGATCTGACTGTGTGTACGTGGGGGAGAAAAGAGGACATGAACCTTCACACCCAGAAGTGAGTGACCTTACATCCAACCACCGTGCGTGAAAATAGGAGTTCTCCACTGATGCATGGAGTACAGTAAATTATAAGATATGGACATAGTCGGACATTCAGTAGGCAAAGATTAGGTCAAGAGTTGAAAAGACGCCATGGTAGAGCAAAAACAGTCAGCATGTATTGCATGATATTGCATGTATCCATTATATTCCGTTCAGAATCCAGATTTAGATCATCATGTTCTTTATCCAGTCTTCGCTGGTCCGTTGTACTAATTAGCACAAGAACAAAAGACAACAAGGTCCTCCTGTCAAAGGTTGGCTTGCACTTTTCAGGTCAAAATATCCAGTAAGACTTGCTCCTGCTAACCTCAATTTTGCCGAATGTGTCTATAGCCATGTCTATCCAATCCCGTCCAAACAACATCAGCTATAGGATGTTATAGGTCTAGGTGACCAAAACTGACTCCCGAGCCGTTTCCGAACGTTAAGGTCAACCTTTTTCCCTTTGCTCTTAGTTCACTGGAGTGTCACCAATCCCAAGGTTTTTGCCGGTGCTCCCCAACGGTTCTCCTGCCAATACCGGTCCTAAACGGATCATAAACGCGGCCGAGCTGCCGACCGGACCAGAACAACCGTGGGACCGTCTTCCGGTCCGTCCCGAGTCTCCGGACCACGTTCCGCAAGATCTTGTTCTTCTGCACTGCCCTGGCGCGCCACACGCGCTATACTGGCGTCCCGGAGTCGGGAGCGGAGTTCGGGAGCTCGGGAGTTCGGGAGCTCGGGGTGACTGGATTTCTTGGGAAGCGTGATCTTCACCTGCTCCGCCCCTTTGGGAGTCGATCACTTTTTTTTGGGGCTCGAAGGAGACGTACCTCCTCCGGTTCTGACTGGACCCAGCTTTGAAGGTACAACTGGAGCCCTAAAGTCAACAATGGAACCCTAAGACTCCTTCTCAGTAGGGGCCCTCCGCCAGCAGGGGTTGGACTGACTCTCCACCGTTCAAAAAACGCGTACAATTTGGGGAGATGCTAACCCAACAGAGGTGGGTCAGAACCCGAACGTTCGACTCTCCCATATATCGGTACCCCAGGTGACGGGTCCTATTTACGGTCTCATAACCTTTGTTGGACCGGGCCAAGCCTTTGCAGGTCTGAATTTCATGCGATGGAACCATCGGTCGATCGACCGAACGTCCGACTACGGGCTTCTGGCTGCCCAACCCCAAAGTCTCCATGGGACTGCAAAAATGGCCTACATGGAAGGTATAGATAGTATAGGCTTTCCCAGACACTCCGTATGTGCCAGTCCGGACTGCCGAGAAACAGCCCAGGGGTGGTTTTGGGGGGGTCAACGTATATGGCAGTCTCATGGAGTGTATGGGTTTTGGGTGGTGAATGTATAGGCCATCTTTGCGCTACGAGGTCACCGCCGCCGGCCGAGTCTTCGGGTCGATCTACCGAGGCTTCGGGTCGAAGAGAGCTCCAAATTGGACACATGTGGTGGCTTTGTAAACCCTGGAAAATGCCCACTCTCCCACGTGGTCTGGCAACTCTGGCAACTCTGGTCATTCTACCGTACCACTAACCCCTGCTGCTTGTCTAGTAACCTCCCTCCTTTGACTCGAAAGTCGAAAAACGGCTCACATCAATCCAAAAAGCCAATTTCAGGATCTCCATCCATACACAGTATGGGTTGGAGGCCATCGCTAGTACGTTGTAGGCCAATCGCTCTTACGTTGGAGGCCATCGCTCTTAGGTTGGAGCATGTTGGAGCCATCGCTAGTAGGTTCTCTAGGTTCTTTGAAGCTCGGTTTTGTCTCCGGGCTAAGGGCTCCATGCCGCTTGGCCGGCTCCACACGCTGCGGCACGCGCATGACCCGCCGGCGCTGGCATTTTTTTCTGCTGGTTTCAAATCCTCCAGCGTCTCCAAGAATCCAAGGGACAGGCCAGCCGCGGAACCGAAACCGAACAGGTTCAAGTTGGAAGAGCAACTATCGCGAAAATTCGTCTGGATTCAATAGATTCCGCCTTGTTTCTGTCTGACCCCTAGTTTGGAGTTACCACCAACTACCCCAAACATGGTCTCTGCCTACCAAAAACGGAGGTTATGACTGGGATCTAGTTCCTCACAGGAATGGTGCCAGGCCTCTTTCAGAGCATCTTCTCACAGAATTCAGCTCCTCTTCCATCCTCTTCCCATCTCCTTCCTTTCGGCGGCTGGCCTGCGAAAAAAAACCGATCCACCGAACACGTGTGACAGCACGCTTGGAACTTCAGCGCGCCGGTCTCGGAGTACTCGAGAAGTGCGGCAGCGCGTCGCCTTCAGCGACACGAAAGCGCTTTTACGGCGCGCTGGTCCGAAAGCGAGCGGCAGCCCACTGGCCAGGTTAAATGCATACAACGAAACCACCCAAACGATAGAAAAACCCTCTGCGTCGTCGGTTCCAAGTGTATTCGACTGCACAGCGTTGTTTGGATCACTCTGGATCAAATGCTTGACCCAGACGCTCATGGACCCTCATATGGAGGGGTCTGGGGTCTCAAATGCGGCTGTGAATGGAGCGTCTGGGTGAGAACATTTTACATGATCATCCTCCAGATGCCAGTTCCTCTCATTTCGACGTCGACATGCATTTCGCTCGACACTCTCTGCGAGTTCAACCACATGGCAGCTTCCTAACGGGAGGCTACCTGAACGCCTTGTTAACAAAGCACACATGCCTGAACTTCCTTGGGAACCTGATTTAACATAAATACAGATGGAGTCCCTTCAACTTCCAACAAGTAACTAGGACCAGAAGCAGGGTCTTCTAGAATAAGAAGTTTACATCGAATATAAATATAACACGTATAATTGCTGCTGTCGCTGTTGTTGCTGCTGCTAATTGTTGTGTCCGGATTGCTGACATTTGCTCTTCATTTCCGCCTTTGCGATGGTTTCTTGGCCGAGAAAGGCCTCCACTCTCAGCCCACGCCGTGCGCGGTGCTTTTCGCGCCGATAAGCGCCGCGATACGCGTGGAAGGGAATTCGACCCGTTCCGCTTCGCGCCGGCACCAGGTTGGGCGATTCGGAAAAAAGAAGGTAAAAAGGCCAACATGAAGGCTCTAATTACTGTCAGATCGTTTTGATCGTGATATGGAGATGGTAGACTAGTCTGGGCCTAATGACTAGGGATCTCCTCGCAGCCAAATACCTGGAACGGACCAAAAATCCCTTGATTGAAGATATTGAAGGGTCTCACTATGTCTACACTTCTCTACACATCCATATTTTCAGAGTACGAATTCAGGGCGTTCTAAAAGATCCCATCCATATGAACCTGGCGGATCTTCTTTACTGAACCTGACCACCTGGTTTCTGGAACGTTCACGGAGCTCCGCCGCTCGCCAGTCTCAGGAGGGCTTCCTGGGCGGCGTGCGTCGTAGCACGGTTCCGGCGGGAGAAAGTGGCACTTGACGACCGAAAATGACTCCTTGAATGGGAGACGCGGAGGGAAAAGGATGGCAGAGGGATCGAAGATGTTAAGATCTAACTGTTAGAGCTGGAACATATAGAATCAAGTGGCGCCAAAAATTTTGGCATGTTCACAACTGATGTTACTCCCCAAAAGCTTCTCCAGGAAGTTCCTTAAATTTGGACATCAAATCATGTGAGAATTGGTGCCACCAGTCTTTTACACGCATGTGCACACATGACATGGATTCAACCCCCAAAACACATTTTGTGTTGTGTTTCGTTGTGTCTTTTCCATTTGTGGAACGTCGGGGATGCGAAGTCCTTGGCGTCCCGACCTCCTCGGCTCTGCCTCAGCGATTGAAAGGAATCGATCGAATCGGCGACATCGGAGTTGGTTGGAATACCCAGACACGACCTGGACCTGGGACTGCCAGTCCGGACTGCCTTCAAAACGGCCAGGGGTGGTGCTTTGAGGGGTCAATGGGGCGGCAGTCCTATGGCAGTCCCATGGAGTGTATGGGATATGTGCAGTCCTTGAAAACAGACTCTCCATGAAACCGATAATTTGCACAGTACATTGACTCACTGACAGGTGGAATGAAGGGGTTGGTGTGATATGTGGAAAATAGATGAAAATAGATGGAGTGTCTGGCTTTGGTGTTTGCCCACGCTCTTCCTGAGCTAAAAGCACACACAACATATCAGGATCCTGTTCCAACAGTCATACAAACTCTTCACACAAGTCGCATCTGGAACACAGTATACGTGATTCACGGGCCGACACCATCTGGGAAAGACGAGGAGTCGACGCCGGTACCAGTTTCTTAACCGGTCTACCTTCAGCCACTGTCCAGTGTCCGTGCTTCCCCCTGGTTCCCCCTGTTCCAACGCCACGGTGTCCAGGCGTCCTTGGCGCTCCCTGCCAGAAACTTCAGAAGCTCTTGACAACTCACGGTTCCATCCTGGCGGTCTCGGCTTTAGCCCGGTCGCGGCCAGGGGGGGTCGGACCACATCTGGCTTCTCCTGCTTGTTTGCTTCGGTCAAAGCCGGAAACATGAAGAGCCAGCTTTGTAATTCAGCTTTGTGAAGAGAGAAAAACAAATTAAAACAAAACCATTCCACCCTAAGGCTTTAAATACCTGACAAGCTTGTAGGATGGGAGCTTTTTTGGGGGGACAGTCAAGTCGACGCCATCTCCGACATGGCCCGATTCCGAAAGCGGTGGACCTCTGAACAGGACGCGGGGTATGTGCGGAGCTGCGGGAGCATTCCTCCTGAATACCTCTGCACAGTACCGCGGTGCCGGAACCGCCGCCTTGGTGGAAGGGAGGAGCGGCAGCAACTGCGTCTCCATCACTCTCGCCTGGCGCAAGAAGCTGATGTTCGTCGTTCAAAGAACCATTGACAGCCAGGAGTCACAGCCAGGGGTGGTTGTTAGTCCTTGAGTGAGTGGATGTTCTGGGCACCCCTAACCTCCATTAAGCACCCCTTTGTGACTGCTGGAGTTTAACTGTATTATGACTTAATCAGGCTTTTGCACTACAAAACCAGGTCAACCATCTTGATCTTGGAAAGCTACGGGTTGAGAATGGATCATGACCACCATTCCGTCAGAAGCCATTCCAGAAGTCCATCAGAAGTCATTTCCTCAATGAATGATGTACGAAAGTTCCACTGCGGGGTGGACCATCTCCCTTTGCCTAAGTCGTTCCACCAACGCGGCCTCCATCGAACGGGGTTTTCGATGAGACGTTCAGCAACGACGCCACGAACGAAACCGGCCTCCATTTCGGTGTGACCCAGGCCGCACAGTAACTCGAACCTTCAATGGGGAGGACCGGTGGCACCACCGGACCTCTCATGGGTCCGTTGGGTCGTCCCGACCTGCATCACTCTACCCATTCAAACTCACTACACTTCAGCTGGATCCAAGCTCCGGTTTCCAGTTGGAACAGCCCCAAAGAAACTTGGATTTACTTAAGGAGCCGGGAAACACCCAGAGGAAAATAACAAATCAATAAATATGAGTCATATTAAGTAAACCAGGAACAGTGACCCTCGATCATCATGGTCGCTCGTGAATGCATGTTCAACAAACGCACCCTGTTCGGCCCCAAATCCTCGGGTCTGGGATTTCACCAATCCCCAGGTTTGAAGGCGGCGTTTTTTTTCGCGGAGCGTTTGGGTGAAGAATATCTCTGAACTTTTGCATGACCAGGTTCAGTACAAAATGAGAATCCTCGGCCTAAAATGAGAATCCTTGATGTGAAGTAGGGCCTACTTTGAACCACTGAGCCTTTGGGCTTTGTTTCACGGAGACCCACCAAATCCAGAACGATGCTCTGAAGGCACGCAGATTCGGTGCGCTTGTCTGCCACGTGGTCTCCCACGGGAACGAGGAAGGAGGAACCCCTCACTGAATAGTATATCCTAGGGCTCCAAGTACCTTCTCAGAAGGTATCTGGACCCTCTAAACCCACCCTAAACACCTTCTCAGAAGGTACTTGGAGCCCTAGGGATAGAAAAAAAAACCCTTAAGGAACCTAATAGCGATGGCTTCCAACCTACTAGCGATGGCCAACCTAGACCCCCAAAAAGGAAGACTCGGCCCTCTGACAATGGCAAGCGCTCCATCTCCATCGAGCGGAAAATCTGTTCACACGCCACCTAGGCTTTTGTTGACCCGTGGCCCGGTCGTCGGATGGCGTCAACGTCCCGTCTTGAAGTCGACCGGCTCGACAGCAAAGATGTTGGGGAACACAGCTGGAAAAGGTGAAACACGGTGGCGTATGGTGCCCAATTATTTTTATTGTATAATACAACCTTCCACATAGATTCTGAATCGTATTCCACTATGTCATTTACACTGTGGAATATGTTCTTGACATCGTGAAACTTCCAATCCATGTCCGGCACAGGAATGGCCAAGGATAAATGCCCTCTGGGTGAACACATGAATGTATTTCATGGTATTTCTCTCATGCGTGAACCTCTTGCAAAATCATTCCAAAATGATTCTGCTCTCTATGGATGGTACCTTGACCCACTACCTTGCTCATGCCTTCAACATGAAAAGGAAGGCCAGATGATCCCTGGAATCACGCATTATATATGATAGATTCATCCGAATACGAAGCTACTGTAGTCAAGTTTATGACTCTCATCATAGTTCATCATGAGTAAAACAAACATCTCCCCAGTTCCAGCCTCATGGCCTCTGTAAGTCGTTCAAATCCACGTATGTTTGTTTTGAGGGCAAAACGGGTTCTCTATTCTTTGGAGCAATCATCAAGTAGTCAGTAAGCGATTGCTTTGTACAAAAGCACATACATCAATATAAATAGATATTATAATATATTGACTAATATAGATAACAACATCTGAAGTGGATAGCAACAGCTGCATCGTTTGTGAAGGACACTTGTCTTCTGAAGGGAACTGCACGGACCTGCGTTCCTTTTTGGGAGGTTAAGGGTCAGCAAGCCTCACTATGTATACTGACCAGTGAAACAAGAAAGCTTGAAGTCTGATGGGAGATAGGATCTATAGGATCATTATCCCGAACAAAAGGTGCACAGTTCATTCAGTCAGCCAACAAAATGAAGGTCAGTCATGCACGTCGCAGCATCCAACCCAAGTTTGAGAATATGATTCCCACCTTTACAAAGGATACAAGACTACACATCGCAATATATACCCAAGTGTGGGGTATTCTCCTACCTGGAGAAGGTGACCCCTTCTGCTGAACGACCATCTGATGCCTTTGGACATACAATCTACCAGCCCAGGTACGACTGGACCCTCCTGGCACCTACATAACAGTGTCTTCCTGCTCACCGTACCTCAGGTTAGGTATTGGGATCTGTAGGGATGGTGCTTTTTCACCATCCTCTGGGTCCCCCGGCGGCTAAATCATCTTCACTGAAACCTGACCGGGGCCGCAGGGAACTCTCTCGTCCCGGTTGTTCCAGTCGACCGGAAGTACCCGGAGTTGCACGTGTGACTGCGTAAGCGCACAGCTTGCTGCGCACGTTGCTAACTGTGACTGGCAGGTCTAAAGGTCTAAAAGCTATCAACCAAGGTGTTTACCTAGCACTTCCAACGGGTGCCCAATGGAGACCTGTAAGTAGGGTAGGGTAGTCTATTGGACACCCATTGGATGATCCTGGTACTCAGTTTACTCCGCAATTTTCTTTGGAAGGGATTGGTGTGTGATTTTGTTAAAACTCCTCCTGCCGCAACGAAGGCAGCAGCATCTACTCGGATTCCAGCTGGCGCCATTTGAAGCGTTTGTGCGTCACTTAGACTGGACTTCGTCCAAACATGTCGAGTGCATTCCAAACCATTCTCCGAGTTGAATCAAGGAGACGTTGGCTGTTGGCCCCGCCATACCTACTTCATGGTGGCCTGTTGTTTTTTTTGGTCGCCCAGTAGCCTCTTATCCCTAAGGATCCCAGTACCCTCCTGGCACCTACATAACAGTGTCTTCCTGCTCACCTTCTGAGAAGATACGACAGGATCCCTAGATATGGCCAGGTCAATGACTGAAGAATACATGGCAGTGCGTCAAAACCCTGGGCACCCTAGTCTTTTCCCACCAAGAATGAACAGAATAGACTAACTACCAGACCCACTATCTCCATACATCGCGAACGAACCAATCTCCATACATCGCGCCTCGTCGAAACTCTCTCGATTGCTCAGCATCCTGTGGGAGTGTACCACCAGTGGGAGTATACCACGTCTTGCCACGAAGTGGTGTGTCTACCAAGTCTCACATCATTGGGTTTGTCCAGAAATGAGTGGCATCCTTCATCCACATGGTATGGACTCCAAACGCCATGGCACCAACTATGGCATTGGGTGAAACTTACCAGTTCAAAAACAAACCAATGCCGATGTCGGAACAGGGGGGACCCAGTTCAAAATGATGGTCCACCTTGCTTTCATGCAACTGCATTCACCAAACCCCACTTATCCACCTCTCACGGTGTCCCTTCCTAGCATCTGGGATTGCAAAAGCCCAGACGTAACTTTGCCATAACTAACCAAAAACGATAAAAAAACGGCCTGATCATGTCAAATGTGTGTTCGTCTAATAAATTGTGGTTTGGAATCTCCAAGGTGGGGATGCATGGAGGTGGATCAAAGAAGGTGGTAGTGGTAGTGGTAGTGGTAGTGGTAGTGGTAG